TCCCGGGACACCTTACCATATTCAAACGCATTTCCAAAATGTGGATTTGTTTTTGCAGTTTCTGGGGGTTACTGGCCTCTTGCATTTTTGCGAAGATCTGTTTTTGGATTTTGAGTTTTTTTTCCATCTGAAAAATCTGAATGAGAGAAGAGAGAGAGCCCAGCTGTGTTAACATCTGCAGGGGTGCAAATTCTACAGTTCACCCACTGAAGCGGGCTAGAGCAAAACCTGTAATAATTTTTCTTGTCTTGTAGCGAGAAGTATGATTTACCTCTTTGGTGCCTGTTCAGTTGAACTTGATGTTTCTTTCTGCGTGTGTGACCGGCTCAGCCCACCCTGGGGGCGAGGCTGGCGCAGCATGTGGTGCCCGGTCAAATCTGGTCCCTGCGTGCTGCTAATCCTGCCTAAGAGGGCGCTTTAGACCGCTGAGCTATCTCATTAGCCCTGAATTTAATCTTAGTTTAGGGTAAAATGAGGCAATTTTGAGTTCTCGTTCTCATCTGTGCCTGTGAATTTCATTACCTGTGGACACAAATTCTGCCTCCCTGGGCTGTGCTGCTCTTTCCAGCAGACAAGAAGGACGTCGTCCCTGGAGGGGCTTTCTGTACCCTCACTAGCTCATGTACAAAACAAAACAACCACATAGCAGGGTGTAATCCCAGTGCTCTGGAAGGCTGAGGCAGGAAGATAAAAAATTGGAGCCCAGACCAGGCAGTTTAGTGATTCAACAAGACTCAAAAATTTAAAATCAGAAAGGCTGAGGCCCAGGGGTCTGTGTGTGAAGGGTCTGAGTGAAGGGTGAGAATTTAAACCCTAATACTGAAACAAAAACAAAAACAAAAACACACATGCCGTGCCAGCCCCACCCCGAGGGTGGGCTGAGCCAGTCACACATGTACAAAGAAAGATCAAGTTCAACTGAACGGGCACCAAAGAGGTAAATCTCAGTTGGGTATGGTGTCACACACCTGTAGTCCCAGCATTCTTGAAGCTGAGGCAGGAGGATCACTGTGAGTTTGAGGCCATCCAGGGCTACATAGTGAGTTAAGGCCAGACTGGACTACTACATAGTGAAATCCAGGCTCAAAAGTCTTCGTTCACCACTTTAATATCCAGAAATGAGGCACAGGGAGAGAGAGCTCAGTGGCACAGTGCCTGCCTGGCAAGCACAAGGTCCTGAGTTCAATTTCCAGGACAAAAAGAAAAATCCAGAAAGGAGCATGGCATGTTGAGACTGTGATGTCACCTGCCCTGTAGGGAGTCCCCTGGGCCCAGGAGCCTCTGTTCCCTGTACACTATGTCCCCCATGGTCCTGCACAGCTCACAGCTCAGCCCCTCCATGCTGAGGGTCAGGCTTGAGGCTAATGGGATCCGCTTGTCCCAAGCCACAGCTGTGGGAGAAGTAGAGTCCACAAGCAATTTGCCAGCTTCCCCTCAGCTGGCAGTATGTTTAAGGCCAGGCAGTGCCCAGCGAGATCCCCAACTGCTACTGCTTTTATCTTAGTTTTTTATACTGGGAATCAAACTCAGGACCTTGTGCTGTGCTGAGCTGTATCCCTGGCCTCCCCATCTGCTACTGTGTGGTGGACACAGGGACAGGGTTCTGGACCCTGTCACCTTGTGGGGTGGCACTGTGCTCCAGGAGGGTGACACCATGACCTCTGAAGGACTCCAAACTCGGCTGCTTTTGCTTAACTTTTTTTTTTTTTTTCTGTCTTTTTGAGACAGGGTCTCGCTATGCAGTTCAGGCTGTCCTTGAGCTCACTTTGTAGCCCAGGCTGGTCTCAAATTCACAGGATCATCCTGCCTCAGCCTGGAGAATGCTGGAATTACAAGTTCATGCCATGAAGCCCAGCCTTCCTAACACTTCTAATGACCCAGGTTCCTATCTTTTTTAAAGTTTCCCTCTCCACATTTTTTTTTTTTTTTTTTCAGTACCAGGACTGAATTCAAGACCTTAAACTTGCCAGGCAGGCACTTATGACACTGAGCTATATCCTTTTACGGATTCCCTTTTCATTCATTCACTCACTCACTCACTCACTCACTCATTCATGCGTTTTTATTAAGCACCTGCTCTGTGCCACACAGCAGGACTGTGATGGTAACCATGGCCTCCCCGAGGTACCTGCATCAGAGAACCTGAAATGTGACATTGAGAACAAACCATGGAGGGCAATGAGCCTCAGGGGAGGGACAGGCAAGGTATGTGGGGCATCTCCGGGAACAGCATTTGAACTAGGACCTAATGGATAAATAGGAGTTTGCCAAGCAGAGGGGTTGGGGAAGGAGAGGGGCAAGGCAGGCAGAAGGAGCAGCACTGGTGAGACGTACACAGGGGCGGAAAGGCCCGGAGAGGCAGAAGAGACACAGCGGAGGCTTTGCCTAAAGAGGAGCAATAAATTACTGCAGGGTCTGCCGCCCAGGAATGACTCAGGGCCAGGCTCCGCAGGGCCTTCCAAGGCCAGTGGAGGGCCTGATGGCTAATGCCACCCTTAACTCTCAGCTCTCTGCTTTTGGGTCCACATGGGAGGGCTGCACTGCCTGCACCCCTCTCTGGATGGGGAAGGTCGCTAGTCTGTGAGTGCCCAGTGGCCAGCGGAGAACTTCCACTCCGCTCCTACTCATCCGGGTGCCGCCACTGCCAGCACCGCCCCCAGCCCATAGTAGGATGTGTAGGTGGGCTCCGGATGTACTGCAGCTTTAGTGCACAGGGACAATGGGGACCATGGCCAATCACATTTGGAGGTTCCCCCCCAAAAGCCCCAGCAGACACTGTGTCAGGTCTGCACGCTGCCCCCTGCTCCCCGGCCCCTCGCGGAGCAGAGCTCCTCATAGGCAGCCACACCTTCTCATCCATCTCGGCCAGCAGCGCCCGCAAGGACTTGATCAGCGCCTCGTAGTCCTCTTTGGCCTGCAGCAGGAAGCGCAGTTCCAGGTAGTTTTTCTGATTCAGATTCAGGTTCTTGGGGGACTTTATGAGGTGCAGAAGCAGGGCAATGTCTTCTTGTTCTGCTTTCAGAGTCTGGATTTCCTTGCTGTCAGGAAAGCAGCCCAGAATTAGCCCCGTACCCCAAAATGACCTGAAGAGAGGCCTCGGGGACAGAACCTTCCCCAGCTAGGCAAAGGGGTGGCAGGAGGTTCCAGATCCAGGGCTAGGACTTGCACCGAGCCCCGGGGTGCCGAGGGTTCCCCTGGTCTGTCTGCTCTGAGGGGTGTTTTCTTCCTGGGGACAATTTGCAACTGTGCTTGTCAAAACCCATTTGCTAGAAGAGCAGAGCGCCCTTTCACAGCAGCTTGCTGGCATCTTCCAGATTCTGCCGACCGTCTTCCTGACTTTACAACCAATTATCTCTGGTAACAAGGGAAAAACCATCAGGCAGGATTTTTCAGGTTTGCATCAACACAGAGAGAGGAAGCCCTGCCAGCTTCTAGGCTGGGGTGGGGAGGAGAGGAGCAATCAGATTAGATTACAATTAGATTCAGTTGCAATTGGATTCAGTTAGCCGATGTGAGGCCCCTCCTCTGCCTTGATTCCTACTCTAGAGAAAAGCTGGGGAGGGTGAGGTGCTGGTGGGGTTCTGCAAAGAGAATAGGATGCGTGGGAGACTGTCCAGCCTTTGCATCCAAATGGTGGGAAGCAGCCCAGTAGCCACAATCCTGGCAAAGCCTGAGTACCAGTACCAGCTGCTGCAACGGCTTGTAGAAAACTGTCTCGGTGTTGCTCTACTAGCTTTGAGAAATGCAGAATCTCAGGCCCCAGCCCTGGACCCAGAAAGGCAGAATCTGCTTTTAACAAGAGCAAATTCCTTAAGCGCTCCATATGCACACTATGGAGTGGGAAGCATGGTTCTAGAATGTTCTAGGCCAGGGATTGGCATACCTATCTCTATAAAAGGTCAAAGTGTGAACATCTGAGGCTTTGGGAGCCACACAGTCCCTGCTGCAATCCCTTCTATCTCCCTGCAGTGTGAAAACAAACATAGGAAATACTTGGGCAAATAGGCATGAGCTGTGTGCTAATAAAACTTTATCTACAAAACCCAGCAGCAGCCAGAGCTGGCCCTTGGGCCGCCAGCTGTCCCGCACCAATGCTCTTCCATAGCACACTCTGTAAATATGGGAATGTTCTCTCTCTGTCCCGCCTAGGGGAATCCACCGGCACACTCGTGTTTAGGGCACCCTTGAGACAGCAGTATGCTGAACAACTGAATTTTTCATTTTATATCCTCAGTTACAACTTCAGTAGTCACACGTGGTTATGACCAGAGTCCTGGGTCAACCTGCAGCTGAGATGTTTCTCCCTTCTTCCCTGACTCCTGGATGGGGTCTTTGTTAAAGTGGAGAGAAAAACAGAGACAGCTCCATCCAAGTAAGACTGGCAGAAGGGGAAGGTTAAATCGCAAGGAGGGTTTGTGTGTCCCCTAGGCAGGGCTGAGATTGAGTGAAGGTAGTAAAACACCCCAAAATTTAAGGAGGTGCTTACTATCAAGGTGGTGTGATGCAGGTCAGTGCGGCAGAAAGTGTTTCCTTAAATATTGTGCCCCAGGCACCTTACCTGATTCTGACCCTATAAAGAACCTACACTCTCTCTTCCAAGAGCCTCCCTTTTAGTGCCATCAAAATGAAACCAGATCAAAGGACCTAGAGATACACTCACAAGGAGGGATTCTCCTGATGTCTTCCAGGAGCAGGCTAAGAATCAGGATAGCCAGGCCGGATGGGCAGGTTGTAGACTGCACAACCCTAGGGAGCGCCGGCAAAGCGCCACTGACTTGATTTATTACTGTTTCCTAGGACACGCTTTTTCTTGTTCAAACTCAATCCCTACACAATGACCATTTTCCCAACAGATGGCAGTAAAGAGTCTTGAGAAAAAGACGCCCTTAAAAACTTCCTACAAATGGCCCTAAGAAGTGACTCTATGGGGAAATCTAAAGGATTCTTCTGGGGCTGGAGAGATGGCTCAGTGGTCTAAAGCACCTACTTGGAACAAGCTTGGCAAAGCACAGGGACCACGGTTCGATCCCCCAGCACCATATGCCAGCCAGCCCCGCCCACAGGTGGGCTGAACTGGCCACACACACAATAAATAAAATGTAAAAATAAATAAATAAAAATTTAAAAAAATAAATAAAATAAAGGATTCTTCTTCTCCATCCTCTGAGCTCCATGCATCACCTAGCGGTAAGGTTTTCTTTTTAATGATGGACACATTCTGTCATTATACGCATTACGGATATAGCTAAAGAACTACATTGGGAGAGTCAAAGAATGTTATTTAACGTTTGTTTACGCAGCTCAAAGGAACACGCTTCTATTGAGCAGAGAAATGTACACATTGTCGTTTGTAGGGCGATCCAATTGCTAATAGTCTACCTTGCAATTCCCATCAGGACACACACGGAGGAAACGCTGTTGCGCGTCACACAGCCCAAGCCTGGAGATTCCCCTGCTTTCAACTAAAACCCTGTGGGGATAGCCACGCCCATGATGCAGTTGATTGGACCAGGAGTAGACGCCTAACCCTAACTGAGCCAATCAGACTCTGCTTATCCTGGGACTCTGGGGCTGACGTCATTGAAGACAGTGTCTTTGCCTGGCCCTTGGTTACTGGCAAACTCGAGATCTGCGGACTGCCAGAGCTGAAATTCAGAGGGAAGGAAGAGGAAAGCTGGTGTGTAAAGAGAAACAGGAACCAGAAATCGTTCTTCATCCAGGAATCTGAGATGTGGGGGCCCTGCTCCCAGGGGGCCCCAGACGCTCTGGTAAACACTCCTCCCTCCCACCATAGCCATTTGCAAGTGGGGTTCTCTTGACTTTGATTAAAACATCCTGGGTCCCTTGGGTGGGCTCGGAAGGGGGTACCCGCCTCAGCGGCCAGTGAGGAGGAGAAAAGGTGGGGGCCATAACAGCGAAACTTGGCTGTCCTCCAGGGCCCCTGGGTGCAAACCTCCGCTGTCCCTCACCCCTGGCTGGCGATCTTCCGCTGGCTGAGGAAGTTGAAGGACTTCCGGCTCTCTACCATCTTCCGGAACTGCTGCCTGAGCTTACAGAGCTCGGCTTCGGCCAGCTGCTCCTTGACCTTCTCAGAAGGTTCCAGAGGGACCTCCTCCGAATCTTTCCTCCTGTACTTCTTCGACTGGGAGACAGCAGAGAGCTAGGGATCAGGTGACCCAAGAGGCTACATGGTGGCAGAGGGCTGAGGGCAGCTTGGGCGGGACTAGCGGTGGAAGCCCATCCCGGCTGATGTCGGCCGCTGGTCTGTTACACAGCAGGCCTCACTGTTGCATCTGAAGAGGGGCCTGGCCGCCTTGTGGGGGAAGGGGTGTTCTCTAGGGCCTGGGTTTGCTCTGCCCTCTCTCACAAGACACTGAACCTCTAGGAGCCTCCAGCCTCCCGTCTCTAAAGTGGGTACACATAGATGTAGGGTGGGGATCGGATGAGCTGATACTCAGGAGGAAGCCAAAACACTGTCTGACCATCCTCAGAGGCTGTCGTTATACCTACCGCCGGCATCTTGAAAGGATGGAGCTTGTCTTCTGCTCAGGGAGGGCGCCTCTCCTCGCAGTACCCTTGCCTCAGTGGCAAAAGGAAGAGGATTATGAGCCTGGCTGCACCTCCCCCACCCTGACTGTCCCGTCCCTCCGCCCACAGCTTGGCACATGACGAGGACATGGCAGATGGTGGCCCGGGTGTGAGGAGAGCCCCCCCAAAGCAGTGTTTGCCTGGAACTTGTTCCTCTCACAATTTATTATTAGGAGCTGGGCAGATGGCTCCACGTGTCACTTACCCTTCTGCTCCCGCGTTCCTAAAGGATAGGGGGCAACATGGCACCAGGGTGTCGCATCCCCTCATGGTTAAAGTGAAATGTGCCCAATCTCAGCTGCAGCTGTAGGTGGAACCCTGGCCCTGTCTTAGAGCAGCAGCCAGTGGCACTGAGAGACAATCTGTCAGGTCCCATCTTAAAATTCCCCTCACCCACAGGTACACAGGAGGGTGGAACATTAGCCCCAGAAGAACTTAGAGGCCGTGAGGCCCACTGTGCCCACCACACCCCCCAGTCCAGACTACAGGATCTGCGTTTCTAAAGCAGAACCCCCTGAGGGTCCTGCCAGGTAGAGATCTCAGCTCAGAGTCCACCTTGGACAAGTCACTTGGCCTCATCTGCTAAGTGGGGAAAATTCTAGAAGCCACCTTGCTGGTCATTCATTGTGTGAAATCACTGTGCCTTTTGCATAATGAGGGTTCAGCACACAGTGGCTGGTGTGACACGGAGCATCTCATAAGGCCCAGGCCCAGTATAGCCTAATGTTTCTGAGGTTTGAGGGCATCTAGCATTTGCCCATGTGCCAAGCTGGTAGGAATGCCCCTGATTTCTCATTGGGAGTTGTGTTTTCCCTCACCATAAACTTTTTTTCCCTTTGGTACTGAGGATTGAACCCAAGATTTTTGTCTTTTTTTTTTTTTTTTTAGTTCAGAGGGCAACCTTGACCTCACTATATAGCCGAAGCTGGTCTCATACTCATGGAGATACTCCTGACTCAACCTCTCAAGTGCCGAGATTACAGACATGTGCCATTACACCCAGCTGAACACAAGACTTGTAAATAAAGTTATGTCCCCTGACCTTTTTTGTCTTTCTCATTCATTCACTCATTTATTTTTGGAGACGGGGTCTGACTACGTAGCTCAGGCTGGCCTCAAACTCAAGATGATTCTTCTGCCTCAGGCTTCTAAGTGCTGAGATTAAGGTGTGCACCACCACACCCAGCTTTTTTTCCCTTTGAGATAGCGTTGGGCTAAATTATCCAATCAGTATTGAATTTCAGTCCTACTGCCTCAGCCTCCCAAAACTCATTTCATTTCTGCCCTAGAGCTGTCTACACCCCATCAGTTTCTGGATTAGAACATGCCACTCTGGATGGGTCAAGCAGGGTGCCAGGTCCCTGCCCAATCTGCCTAACCCAGCCCATAACCTGGGGCTCCTTCAGGAATGCCACCTCACCCTGGCTAGTCTAGGCAATCCAGCCGGAATTCCAGTTTAGACCCTGGGAAGGGAGAGCTTTCGCTTCCTGCTCTCCTTGAACGTAGTGAGGGAGGTCAGGAGTGGCTGAAAGCAGTCTTGCCCCCACAAGGGACTCAAACATAAAGCTTATATGTTGCAAGAAAAAATCCTGAAAATGTGTCACCTGGATTTAGTCAAGCCTGAAGATACCGCTGTGTTTTGTTGAGTGATATGAATCAAAGATTGCATTAAAGCCATCTGAGTTTTCTAACACTTTCATCCAAATGAATTCATCTGTCTGGAGTACTTACGTTTAGCACAAAAACTGAGGCCTTGGTGTGTGCTAAACATTGTAGGGAATTCAGTAGTGAGTAGCTTTCAAGATCTTATGAAGGCAGCACACAGTGATATAATGAGAAAGTTGCCTCAAAAGAGATGAGTTTTAAAAAGAGAGAGAGGAAATGAGTTTTAGTTTGGGTTTTGAAGGATGAATAGGAGTTCACAAAGAAGATGAAAACTGGAGGAAAAAGTTCTGGGCAGAGAGAACAACCTGGGCAACTGTTAAATGTGTTCAGCATCCAGGAAGGACAATGTGACAAATTCTCACCAATGGGGCGGGAGCAGAGAGCAAGTGTGGCATCTTAGACCATGACTTCATTGACGTGACATTTCCAGCCTCTCTTCCCCTGCTCACACTTGCAAGAGCCTGAGCCATAAAACAGGTTCCCACCTCAACTCCTGAAAGAAGTCACTTGCCAACTGTGGACACCCTCATCAGACTGTTATGTAACTGAAAATCAACTTCTGTTCTATTATGCTAAGGAGATGTGGGGACTGATTTGTTATAGTACCTCACACGCACTCATAGCTTTCCTTACATAAGTCTCCTTCCTTACATAATTCCAATCCTCCAATCCCTGCCCACCTACTCACCGATGATGAATTATGATTGGTTCTGGCTAACCACAAGAACGCCGTTTCTCTTTGTCAATGATTGGTCAAAGGATGGGCACGTGACCTAACTCGTACCAATGAGCTGTAAGGAGACATCTATGCAAGTTCCCCTTTTAAGTGCTTCTGGGAGTTATTGTGAAAGATGGTGCTATGGTAACCATCCAATAACCACGAGAAGAAATGCCACACACTGAGGAGTGCAGAGGAAAATGGGGGAAATGCCAGGTCCTTATCGCCACAGTATGCTAATGCCCCATCACTGGACTACCTATGCCTGGGCTGGCTTGCTGATTGATTGATTGAGATGGGGGTCTCACTATGTTCAGCTTGGCTTTGGACTCACTGCGTAGCCCCAGCTGGCTTCAAACATACAGCAATCCTCCTGCCTCAGCCTCCTGAGTGCTGGGATGACAGGTGTGTGCGCCACACCCAGCTTGTCACACTGTTTTGAAACATGAATGCCAGTGATGCCCCCTCTCTTATGGCTGCTGGCCTCTGTCCACCCTATTGCCTAACTGCTCCTCTCTGAGACCCACATTTCTTGTAGCCAGCAGAGCCAACAGGGATTTGGGTTTGCAATTCCTGGGGCAAATCTAAAGGCTGCACACTTCTGGAGTGCAATGTGTGCAAGAGAAAGTGGTGAGAAGTCGGGGTCTGAGTCAGGGGACACAGGCAAGTGCCTTCCACTTCCTGCACCCCAATCTGTCCACTACAGCACCTGCAGTCCTGGGCACTGGTAAGATCTTGGCAGATCCAGCCTGTTTCCCCTGGCAGAGGTCATCTCTGGCAGCTGGGCTTAATTAGCTGTTGGGGGGAGGCTGGTGCTTCCTGCACTTCTGCACTGTAAGGCCCTAAAGGGCTCCCCAGGGACCCTGCAGCAGGCAGTTCCATGGGCCTTGGTGATGGAATTAAGCATATGATGGGGCCCCAGCCAGGCAGGGGCGCAGACTTAAGCAACTCATTTCATACAAGGACGTTATGGGAGGAAAATGGAAATCCACTGGGCTTTCTGAAGCTATCTTACACAGTCACTTATTTGTGATCTGTGGAGGGGGACATTGCTATTCCCCAGGCTCTGGTGAGCCGCTGCGCCATTGCTTTTTCCCAGCAGGGGGCGCAGTGGAGCAGCAGGCCAGGAACTTACCCACCGGCTGCTGCGCGGGTCCCGGGCCGCGCGCAGGTCCTCGGCGCCGCAGGACGCTTGATGCTTCCACGGCTCGAGCGTGGCGGCTGAGGACCCCAGAACGCGCGCGTTTGTGACCGCACAGACGAGGGCAGCGGTCTCCAAGGAAGGCGCTGTCGGCGCCCTAGAAGAGCACAGGGGTGGTGTGCTCCTCCCCGAACCCCAGAGACTCCTAACTAACCAGGCGCCGTCAGGCTCCAAGGACCAATGTGACACTGTAACTCAGTGACTTGTAACTTAGTAACGGCGCTCCTTCCTCCCTTCGCGCTCATCACAGTTGAGCATCAGACTTGACACACAGCTAAAAGCCCAGTTCTCCCGTGATGCAGAAGAGAAAAACCATTTAGCCATTTATTTATTTATTCTGAGATGGCGTCTCCCTGTGCAGTCCAGGCTGTCCTTGAACACCACGTAGCCCAGGGGCTGGCCTCCAACTTGCAGGGTTCCTCCTGCCTCAGCCTCCTGAGGGCTGCTGGGATTACAAGCCTGTGCCTACCATTTTTTAAAGACCACACGGCACTGTGACCAAGATCCAGGGTGACTAGTAACGAGCAACTCATTGTGCCACCAGAATTCCTTCAAGTGGCCCAGAAGCACAAGCTGACCACTTGCTTCCCCTAGGGCCAAAATCAAGAAGTAGCTACAAAGGTAGAGGGCTCCTGGTTTTCTAGAACAGCCTAATTCCCCGTGATTTTTTACTTTCTCCCCTGGCCCTTTGAAGGAATTGCAACCTAGCCATGCTAAGAGTCCCTCTCTTTTGTTCCTAAACCACACCACAAGGTATACTTTGTCTTTGTTTTTCTTGAGACAGGGTCTCGCTCTGTAATCAGGCTGGCCTTGAACTCATTATGTAGCCAGGCCTGACTGGCCTCAAACTCAAGGTAATCCTCCTGCTTCAGCCTTCCAGTGCTGTGACTGCGCGTCCCACCATACCCAGCTACAGGGTATATTTTGGAATTTAACCATATTTGGGGTTTTAGAAAGGTAATCTGGTGCACAAGGGAGCATGTTGGCCCCATTGTTGCTGGCAGCCACATTGTAACCACGAGGCAAGTTAGAACACACATGCGAAGTGGTATAGACTAGGAATGGTCCCATGTCAAGTTTTGCCTCTAATGAAGGAACTGAAGCTTGGAGAAGCAGAAAACATATTCAGGATTAGAATCTGGCGCTTCTGTCTCTAGAGCCCCACACTATGTCACAGCCGAGCGAGCCAGCGGCCCCCAGCCTGAGCAGCTCTCTGAACAGTGGTCTCGACTGTGCCTGATATTTAAAGCGCCGCGCCAGCCCTCATCCCCGCGCGTGTGACTCACATATTTCAAGTGTCAACGACGCAAAGATGATTAAGTTGAGTTCAGTTCGGGGACGGTTAAAAATAGGCCTTAAAGGAACCCGCTGCCTCTGTCTTCCTGGGTGCGCATCTCTAGGCCCCGGCATTAAGAAGCACAGGCTGGGTTAAGGAGAACATGGACTGCAGTGGCGTGGACTGCACCGGCGGCTCTGCAGCCAGTGGCAGGGATGTGCGGAGGGCGGCGGCGCTGGCCCCCAGCTGGCGGGAGCAGAGCAGCTGAATGGGGGGTGGCGCCACACTGCAGAGGGTAGGGCGGAGGCACCTGGGCTCAGGCCAGGAAGCGGAGACCCAAGGGGGACTTGGTGACCAGAACCCTCTGAAAATTATTCAGAATGACGTTTACCAGCACCTGTCACCTCTTCTCCTCCCCTCCCAGCCCCGCCACGCCCAGTTCAGGAAGCACCCTCTCCCATCCGCCGAGGGTCCAACAGCGGCAGTGTCCGCACCACCCCCAGGCTTCAGCTCCACTCCTCTTATAGTCTCTGCCTTCTCGTCCTCCTCGCCGACCACTGCACCAGGAGTGTCAGTTCTCATGAGACCTGCTGGTCCGGGGATAGGTACCTGGCTGACAGTGACCTAGTCATATCATAGACAGCCGAGTTAGGGAGAAATACTATAGGCAGTCGGACAGGGCTAGAACCTTGAAGGGGTCAGTGCAGAGGATGAGAACACATTACAACTGTGGCTGGAGGTGCATTGGTTAAGGGCCAGGCCTTAATATAAAGATGGAATGGCTCCACCTACATACTTCTCTGAGGGATGAACAATGTACTATAATCACTATTCTAAATAGGCATCAATCACCTGCCTGGGGGACTAGGACCTCCTGACTCATCACGTCCCCAAAAAGATCCTGGTGCTTTCCGTGTACATTTGCTGCCTAAAGAACACATGACCCGGGGCAGAGACCACGCTACAGGCTTCTGTGAAAGCAACGAGGCATAGGTTTAATCCCTGGGTGCAGGCAGACAGAAGGTGACAAGAGCATGTGTACAAAGAGAAGAACATGAACAAAGAGAAGCAGCCCCTTTTATAGGAATGGAGAGCAGGCGAAGGAGATTAGGTGGGAAGATGTTAATAAACATCGGTAGTCCATGTTCCCTGGCTGCCCTGCACCCCAGTAGGCAAAGTCCTTGAAGTGTCCGGTGTAATATTTTGGGTGTCTCCAGATGTCTGGGGACCTGCATATTCCCTGTCCTATTTTGTCTCTCTCACAACATCCCGTGTTTTCCAATGACAGCGTCAGTGCTGAGCTGAGTCCCTGCTGAGAACAATGCCTCTGTTGGCAAGCAGGTTGGATGCTGGGAGAGCCAGGTCTGATTCCAGCCTTCCAATTTGCTCCCCCATTGGGCCGACATTACCTACGTGGCTGTCCTAATCGTATTGGCTGATCAAAGTTTTGTCCCATGTTGTGCCCTCCTCATGACTTTGTACCCACCTCGTGATTTTGCTTTGTAAAACTACCTTTGAGAAGTGGGCTCCCTGGCAACCCGCTTTCCCAGGTTCCCTTCTGTCTCTCTCAGGAGCTGTCTCTTCCACAATAAAATTTTCCTTCTGTGTGTGTGTGTGTGTGTGTGTGTGTGGCACGAGACAGAGACAGAAGAGAGAGAGAGAGAGTCTGACTGTGTAGTTCAGGCTCGACCTGAACTCACTATGTAGCCCAGGTTGGCCTCAAACGCATGACAATATTCCTGCCTGAGCCTCCTGAGTGCTGGAAATTTGCCATTCTTTTTTTTTTTTTTTTTTTGTGGAACCAGGGAAAAGTTCAGAAGGTTGGGGTTTTTGTTGTTGTTGTTTGTTTTCTTTTGGCCCACTCAGGATGCCTTAAGGGCATGCCTGGTAAGGCATGAGGACCTGGGGATCGAACCACAGAATTCTGAGCCTGACTGCTTTGCTTAAGCAGGCACTTAAACCACTGAGCTAATGGGCAGGCCCCCTGCCACGCTTGGCCTACGTTGTTCCTTAGAATTCCTTCTTCAGTTCTGAGGAACATGAACTTGGCGTATCAGAAGCCTGGAAGGTCGGAACTTATATTTCCGTCTATCCTTTGGAGGTCCTGTATCCTCTTTGGAGGTCCCAGCGAGGTCGTGGGTGGAGGTCAGAGTTTCTTCTGTTTCATGGATTCTGGATTGCGACTCCTTTAGGTAATCAAAAGCTGCCGTCCTTGAGCAGCTCTGGCAGCAGGAGGAGCAGCGGCAGCTAGGCAGCGTAGCTCCAAAAGGCTCCCCTGGGCCTCGGTCCGCAGCAGCTTCCGCAGGCCCTGCTCGGCCGTGGTGCCTAAGGAAGGTCAGCTCCGCTGCAGGGGCAGGAAAGAGGAACCCCAGAGGAGATCGGCAAGGTTGTCAGGTAAACCGCTCCTGTAAAAGCGGAAACAAAGCCACCGGAGGCAGCAGGAAAGGATAAATCTTCAGACCAAAAAAAAAAAAAAAGTGCAAGAGAAGGGGAAAAGGGGAGCCAAGGGAAGACAGGCTGAAGTGGCTGATTGAGAAACCAAGGCAGATGCACCTGCGGAAAATGGAGACACTAAAAACCAGGAGAACGCAAACTCCTGATGGAGCGGAAGAGAAGGAAGCCGCATCTGATTTTTCACACACCATGTCTTTTATTTATTTATTTTTTGAGACAGGGTCTCACTATGTGGCTCAGGTGGGCCTTGAGTTCACTTTGTAGCCCAGGCCGGTCTCCAACTCACAACGATCCTCCTGCCTCGGCCTCACAAGTGCTGGGAGTCCATGTCTGAATGCTCCGTCTCCTTTCATGTACAATCCAGAGGAATATTTTTCTTTTTTTGTGTGCATCCTTTTGAGACCAGAGCAATTTTTTTTTTTTTTTTTTTATCTTTTT